GATGCTGCTTGGCCTGCTGTGTTCATCCAGCCCTGCACCTTGTTGTCATAGCCACTGGTGATTGTTGTAAAAATCCTATCTGGTTCACTCATGTCCTTTAGGAAGGAAACCTGCCATTTTACCTGGTCTGACCTACAAGCGACTCCAGACCCATAGCAACATGGTTGACTCAATTGCTCACTGGGCAATTGGGGATAGGCAATAAGTGGTGGTCTAACCAGCAGTGCCCATATCCCATGAATGAATAAAAACAAAAGTCTTGACAAACCAAACGCTCAATTCTAAGATAGCTTGCAAAGTCTGCACTCAAAATTGCAGAAGTTGGCAAAACTTGCGACAAATATAGACAACAAGCATCTTGAGTTGATGCTCAAGACAAGCTGATTGAACAGGGCTCAGATTTGATCAATAGCCTTTACAGGCTCTAGTTGGACCACTAGCAGGAACACTACAATAAAGTATTTCCTGACTAAAGCTGGTTTTGCTCCCGGTCACTTGTTAGATCCTGTTGGAAACACAGATAAGTGGATTTTGTTATTCTCACATGTTGACAGTTAGCTCACATTAATGGAAAAATAATTGTTCAAGTAAACAACAAAGCGCTGGAATAAAGCTCATTACCAACACCTATACAGAAAAAAAGACGACATTTCCTCCCCTGCAACTTGCATGAAAGAAACAACGGTTCGTTACAGTGTGCAAAGGAGTCGCTCAGGACACCATATACCACACAAATGGATTTTCAGGATACCACTTTATGAAACTGGATACTTAAAAAGTTAGGGAGGAGTTGTAAGCACAGAGAGAGACAAATAGAAAATATAAAAAAAGTGTTAATTATAAACAAATTGTGAATTGCATTTTATCTAAAAAGAAAAGACAAAATATTGTGCTTTCCCCATCATTTGCTCAACTCCCATAAATGGTTTATAAAATTACCACAGGCCCAGATGATTCAAGATTTTACTTCTAACTCTCAAAACACATAACACAGTAGAATGCCTTAACATACAAGAGTAATTACAGAACACGAACAGAATTCATAATCAAGGGACACAATAGCATTAAATTAGGGGAGGCCTCTAACGCCCTGCACTAAGACAGTTGGCATTTTGATGACAAAACAAACTTTATTGTTCCTCACCATTAAAGAGCATTCAATTCAATACATCCTCCATGATCTTTTTTTGCTTGAATGGACCAAAGGCATTTCATTAAATTTAAAAATGTCTGATATTTGTTAAAAATTAGGTGTATTGTGTGTAACAAACTTCAGAAATAGAAAGACATACCATACAAGTTCTAGAGTTTTCACCAATAAATGAGTCTCTGAGTACCAGGGTCAGCTTGCTTGCTCTAAATGGTGTATAGATATTATTCTGTCCCAGTGATCGAATGCACTCCTAGAAGGCAACAAAACTATTACAAAAGATAAAACAGGATATTCATGCTTTAAGTTGAGTGATGAAATCCTTAACACCGTCCAAGCTATTTTCTCTTAGAACTGTAAGAATTACACAGTGGAACTAATATGGAGTTAAAAATGACACTTTGGTGCTGAATGCTGGATCAACTATGATGCAATTGAATAATGGAGCAGGCTCGAGGGGCCAAACAGCCTATTCTTGTTCCTATTTGTTATGGTTTCATTAAATAGTTAATCTGGCAAGCAAGCCAAGCACAATTAAATTGGTTGTCATGGCTATTCTAGGTGCTGTCAATCACTTTTTCTAGGTAGATCATTCTGGATTCGAAAAATGCCGAAAAAAATTCTCATCACTACTTTAGTTCATCTGTCAATTATTTTAAATTTATGACCCCTGGTTATTGGGACAGCATGGTGGCTCAGCGGTGAACATTGCTGCCTCACAGTACCAGAGACCCAGGTTCGATTCTGCTCTCGGACAACTGTCTGTGTGGAGTTTGCATATTCTCCGTGTCTGTGTGGGTTTCCACTAGGCGGTCTGGTTTCCTCCCATAGTTCAAAGATGTGCAGGCTAGGTGGATTCGCCATGCTAAATTGCCCATAGTATTCAGGGATGTGTAGATCAAGTGTGTTACCTATGAGAAACGTAGGGTTACAGGGAAAGGGCAGGGGAAATGTGTTTGTGGGGGGTGGGGAGTGGAGGGGAGAGAGAAAGAGGGGGAAATGCACTTCAGAGGGCTGGTGTGGACTTGGGCTGAAGGACCTGTTTCCACATTGTAGGGATTCTATGTACTGGCCACTTGATCAGTGCTGGAGAAGCATGGTGGCTCAGTGGCTAGCACAGCTGCCTCACAGCACCAGGGACCTAGGCTCGATTCCACCCTCAGTAACTGTGTGGAGTTTGCACATTCTCCTTGTGTGGGTTTCCTCCCACAGTCCAAAGGTGTGCAGGTTAGGTGGATTGGCCATGCTAAATTGCCTGTACTATTCAGGGATGTTTACGTTAGGTGGGTTAGACATGGAGAAATGCAGGGGTAGGGGAATGAGTCAGGGTGGGATGCTCTTCGGTGGGGTGGGGTGGTGTGGGCTAGTCGGGCTGAATGGCCAGTTTCCACACTGTAGGGATTCTATGATGAAGCGTCTTCATAGAGATTAAGAAACTGCAATTTTAAATAAAGATAGTGTTGGCGTTAATTTACTAAAAATGTAAGAGAAAAATGATTCAAACCCATCATCTTCAAAACCACTGATGTCACTTCTGTTCCTAGCCAAAAATCGCAATCTTTCCAGTTTTTCACTTGAAGACCAGAAATCTCGCGCCCCCCCCAAAAACACTAAATAAGCGCTTCTGTAGGCTGAAAGCTTGTATATATTTCCTGAAGTATTGCCTCCAAATTGCTCCCAACACTTGATTTAAAAAAAAAAACACTGGTTTGATCTTGACTAAAAGTTTTAGCAGGATCACTTTGCTTTTCCATTCCATCCTCTAATGTTAAATAGTTTTTTTTAAAAACTACCATTATTTTGACTTCCATCATTTGATTTTTAATACCCAGGACCTTTTATAGAATAAAAGGGTCTTGAAAGAGGAGAGAAAAAAAAAAAGTTGAGTTCACATGACCAGTGGTAATTTAACTACAGGCCGGGCCAGATCATGAAATCTATTAATAAACGAGACCCAGTCTGAACCAAGATTAAAAAGGTCATCAAAATGACTAAAACCAAGTCACTCAGATCTGTAGCTCCTTTTCAATTTACTCATCTTTCACTTTTTGTGAAACTTAAGAATATCTCTAGATCATTGAGCTTGTGGAAAAAAAAGTGTGAAATCACAAAAGCTTTATTTCAAGTGAAATTTGCAGAAGTTAATATAGAATTATTTTAATTCTGATGTAGTGCAAGACATGACATTTGCTTGGAAAGACCAAAAATCTAGGATTGCTCTCTTTAAAAAAAAGAAAGACTGAATGAAAGCATCCAAAAATTGAAAGGGGATTTGACCGAGTAAATGAGGAGAAACTGTTACCGCTGATGGCTCAGTCAGTAACCTGAGGATGTAGATTAAGGCAATTGACAAAATGACTTCTCTCTCAAAGAGGGGAGAGAGTTGTTACAATTTAAAATGCTCTGAAAGCAAGAGTAGTGACTACAGAAGTAGAATTGGTTAACAGCTCCTTGCCGGAGTACTATCACACTTATGCAGAGAATAGACAGAATAGTAACTCATGAAGAATAGCATGGAAAAGTTCAAAATTATCCTCTTTTCCCATGCAAGATACACTTCAGTTACCTTCAAGGCAAGCAGGCTTTTATTAATCTCTGCACCTTCCATTCTGGTTTGTCGGTCTGCACTGCTAGTATCAGCACCTCGCTCATTTCCAGCCAGATCAATGAGAGAAAACTGACCATAAAGTTTATCATTCCTCCGAAGATGAATCTGGAAGACTGCATGGGACCTAGAGGAGTTACTATTTGCAGAGGTTTGCCCAGATGTCCTATTTATTAAAAAAAAGGAAAAAAAATCAGCCTTTAATCTTTTATTAGTATCATACCTTAAGACAGTTAGCAGGTATTTGTAATTTATAGGAGATTTAAAATATTCAGTTCTTATAGCCTTGGGAATTCTCACACTCGAAGGTATTTTAGCTTGTATTAAAATGGTGTGCTTGACACCTGCAATGCCAGATTTTGTTTACAATCATGATCCCTACCAGAGTTCATGTTGTACTTTTCATGCTGACATTTAGTGAGACTTTACATTCTCTATTCAATTGTTAAGTGCCTGCTTTTGTTCTAGAGGTTAAGTGGTATTTAAAGTGCATCATGGCCATCTTTATGATTGCCCTCAACTCATGGATCCAAGTTTTACGAAGTTTTAAAACAAAAAAAAAAAAAGACTGCTGCCAGTAATAATTAAAGACAGATTTAAAGTGACCATGATTTCCAAACATATCATTATATTTTACTAAGCTAATACTAAACATAATATTGTGATATAACTTATGTACATCAGGAAGAAAATGCTTTTACACATCTCAGTACTTAAACACCACAACTTGAAGGCAGGGTACTGATGAGTCAAAGATAATTTGACCTATGCCTGTGATATAGGCATGTGTTCAAGATGTATCAATACATGGAGAGAATGAAGTTAGTTTCTCTACTGGCCATGGTTCTGAAGTAAGTGAATCAGGGAGAAAAGCAAGCAAGAAATAAAAAGGTGGTGACAGGAAAAAAGGAAAGTAGTTACCTGTAATTGTTCCCCATATCAATATTCATGACCACATCATCTACAGAGAAGACATCCTGTTCCCGGAGACCTACGATCTGTACCTGTTGTTTATTGTCTTCCATTATACGCAACTTAGCTTTTTTATTCAAAAGATCAAACACCTGTAAGACAAAACAAGCATTAGGTCCATCAGTAAGCCAAGTGGAGGAATAATATTTGCTTTCAGTCACTCTGTTCGGAGCGGTTTTCAGATTTCTCTTCCATGAAGTAGAACTAAGAAAACCAAGTCACCATGTAACAAAATACAACTGAAAATCTGACAATGCAGGGGTGGGGGAGGGAAAAAAAACAAAAAAAAACTTTCACTCAGCTTATACCATATTTTAGGTTGTGGGCAGGTGGGAGTAGATAGATATTGAAAAATTAATAATCTCAACACCTGGAATTTTAGATGTTATTTCAGTTGGCACACAATTAGCCATTCATATTTTTGCTGTAGAGGACATCTGTTCCCTGTAGTTGGATGAATGGTTGGGAAGAGGAGGAAAGAGAGACCAATAAAACAGAAACAAAATCTTTCTTGCTTTCGACTAACCCTTCCAGCTGAATTTTTTTTCTTCACATTAAGGTCGTTGGGAGAGAACAGCTAAAGTCCTCTGAACTGTGAAAGTCAAATTCTGGTATCATTTGTAACCCAAAATAAATAACATCATATTCCTCACTTAACATAGTGAAGTATCACCCTCCATTTCAGATATTTATCCATCATTCCCCTTAAAGCTCCTGTGCCATTGCAATCCACGGGAATTTGCTTTGGGTTCCCTTTACTTAACCAATCTATCACGGTCCGGTAGTCCATGTTAAAACTAAAAAAAGACAAAACAACTTTCCGGCCTCTTGCCTTAAACATTAAGTTAATAAACCTTCATAACCACAGAAATATTTCAAACTTAGAAATCTACCATCATTTGGTCTTCTCTGAAATAGTTCCAGTGACTCATACCTCTTTACTACTTTTGGATCTCGCTCACATCATTCTAGGTGACTCTGCTGTATGCATTACTTGCTTTTGGACCTTCAGCTCTGCATTAAATTGTCAACCTTACTAATTCAATACCCATGCACAATTCCCAAAAAGGTGAAATCAACCCAATTCCAGTTGGAAGTGAAATCCATTAATTGAATCCAGCCAACTAATAATTCATCACGTTGCAGTATCTTATATAGTATATCCCTGATCCAGGCTCCAATTGGACACCTTCTGAAAAATCAATTTACACCACATCTATCTACACCATGTCAAAATTGTAAAATTTGCCTATTTACTGGTGTTGGACTAAATACTGTCATTTGATTTATTTAGCCTTCTGTCTTGGAAAGGTTAATCGGGCACCATCCAGTTCGAGATACAAACCATATATCTCGAATTCCAAACAGAAACTGTGATGCTAACTCTACTGATTTCTTTCAACTCCAAGATGAATGCCATATAGGCATTTGACTCACCTCATATTTCAGGTAAAATTTGGCTTAACAACTCATGTTCTACATCTTACAGTAGATCAACATTCTCACCTCTGCAATCAAATGGTAAGTGAGGCAGTAGCGTAGTGGTAATGTTAGTGAACTAGCAATCCAGAATCCCAGGCTAACTTTCTGGAGAGATAGGTCATGGCAGATGGCAAAATTTAAATTCAATAGAAAGAGATCTGGAATTACTAGTTAGTCCAATTGTGACTATGTAACCGTTATCAATTAACAAAAATCTGCCTGGTTCGCTAAAGCCCTTTTGGGAAACAAACTCTGTTGTTCTTACCTGGCTTGGTCTACATGTGACTCTAGACCAACAGCAATGTGGTCGAGTCTTAATTGCCTTCCAAAATTTCTGTGACCCCTAATCAGTTCAAGGGCAGCTAGGATGGGTAACAAATGCTGGCCTTGCTAGAAACACCCACATTAGAATAAAAAAAATCTTGAACTTTGTAGGACTGGTAAACTGGGTGGGGCGGAGGTAGAAAGAAACACTTACAGCAGCATAAATTTATAGAATCATCTGCTTTTTATGCAATTTTTGTGTTAATACCCTGAGAAAAGTGAACAAAAAGAGAAAAGTGAACAAAAGAAAGCAGTGTTTTACAAGCAGAGTATCCATAGACACTAACAATTCTTTTTAAAAACCTCGTCACTTTCTACAACACTTTTTGGCTGAGAAGCTATAATCTTTGTAAATGATTATTAGCCTTTCATAGTGTTTTTCCACACTTTAAAAAGACCTAGCATATTTTCTATGTTTGTTTTTCATGAAGCAATGTTGTCAGTTAGTTTTGTTCACTTAAAATGCTTCTGAACCCACCTTACCACTGTAGATTTCAAAAAAGCTTACGGATACTTTCAGATTAAGATCCTTGTATCGAGGCTGTTCAAGCAACAAAAACACATCCTGAGCTGAAGAAATAAATAGAAAAAAACAAAATTTCAATTTGCTGTTTGTACATAGAAACAAACTATAAATAGGAGTAGGCCATTTGGCCCTTTGACTCTGCTCTGCCATTCAACGATTATGGCGGATCCTCTAACTCAATGCCATATTCTCACTCTTTCTCCCCATTTTGAAATACCTTTAAAGTCTAAAGCAAGCAACTCCCTCTTTTTTGAATTAGGTTAGTGACTTGGCCTCCAGAGCCTTTTGGGGCAGAGAATTCAACAGGTTCACAACCCTCCCAGTAGAGAATTTTTTTTTCTCTCATCTGTCTAAATGGTCTACCCCATATCCCAGGATGTCACCTAGTTCTAGCTTCCTAACCAGAGAAAACATCTTCCCTGTATCTAATCTGTCCAACCATGCTCTTGTGAACACAGGCCTAGTTGAACCAATTTCCCCTCACGGGACACTGCTGCCAACCCCAGTAAACCTCCGCTGCAAGTCTACGGCAAATATATCCTTTCCTTAGGTAGGGGAAGACAAAACTGCACGCAATGCTTCAGTTAAAGATCTCATCAAGATCTTCAATAACAACAGTAAGACATCCCCTACTTTGGAACTCAAATCCTCTTGCAATGAAGGCCAATATACCACTTGCCTTCCTAATTGAAACTAGGTAAGCAGCAAGCAATGACAGGTGTTCCTATCATCCATTTGTATGGACACACTTCCCAATATATCATTACGCAAATAATACTTTTCTTTTGTTTTACACTATAAAGTCTATAACTTTACATTTAGCCATGTTGGACTGTATCTGCAGGTGTTTGCTCATTCACTCAATTGTCTAAATCACTGAATCCTCCTTACCACTCTCAATCACACCCAGTATAACAATGATATTTCATGCCAACAAAAAGGAAAACATTGATGCTAGAAACATGAAAAACAAACAGATTGGAAATTCTCATGTTAGACAGTTTGTGAAGATAGAAGCAAAGCTAACATTTCATGCTGCTGATCTCTCATCAGAACTGGAAAAGTTACATGACACAACAGGACAGTGGATGAGGTCAGGGAAATTGTCCCCAAGCTCAGTGGTGAGGTCATGGTGCAAGGGAAAAATGCAATAAAAAGATGCTGATGTTCAGATTCTGCCAAATATAGTACCATTTGTCATCGCAGGTGCTAAGAAGGTAGTGCTGCATGTTCAAAACAATAGTAGTCTGGAACAAGCAGAAAGAAAGGAGAGATAATTGCTGGCATGCCAGCAATTTTCAATTGAAAGAAATCTGGAGGGTACATGGCAGTTTCCAGGTGCAACAAGAATTCGGACGATGGAAGAAAGGATTGGTAGAGTAGGGGACAACTCTTGGCCAAAGTAGAAGACCTGGAAAGAAGAGGGTTCCAGCATTGTGCCAAGTTCAAAATTCAACAAATTGGACATGCAAAAAGGTGTGAAGTCGAGCATTAGTTGTTTGAGGTCAGAGATAGAAATGGGTATATTGCAATCATGGTAAAAGGACAAGTTTGTAGAAAAAGAAGCAATCCCAAGTAAAGTGAACAAATCCAAGTGTTGAAGCTTTCAAAAAGGATATTTCACAGGCTTTTCTCCTATTGCTTACTTGCAAAGGCATAGATTCCTTTTGAACAGTCCTGGTTTTTCCCAGAGAAGTTACCACCCATAGTCTGAATAAAAGGAAAGAGAAATAAACATTAAAAATAAAATAACATACAATCAGAATCCCGACAGTGCAGAAAGAGGCCATTCAGCCTATTGAGCCTGCACCAATCCTCTGAAGAGCATCCCATCCAGACCCAGCTCCTTCACCCCATTCCAAAAACATTGCATTTACCATGGCTAGTGCACCTAGTCTGCACATCCCCAAATACTGTGGCACAATTTTAGCTTGGCCAATCCACCTAACCTGCACATCTTTGGACTGTGTACAACATGGTCAGAACTCTCACTGGCTACACTTGAAATGTACAGGATCCCTATTACGAATAATTGAAAGATTCCCTAATAGAAATGCTACATTCATTTTAATTTCTCAGGATAGTAAATGTTTCTTCCACACCTGCAGAGACATTTCCCAGATACATCAAGAAGACAAAAAGCAAGGTCTTGGGTGATGTAACAAAGATGGTGTTTTTAAAAAAAAAATAAAATAAAAAAATAAAAAAACAAACACTTAAAGACTAGTATGCTTCTATTAGAGGAATTTTCACTAACCCAAGCGGTTGTACAGCACATTGTCATCACCAGACATAGAAAGATGCTACTAAAATTCTGACAAAGCTACTGTATCTGTGGTGCAGCAACATTGATACAAATGCACAAAAATGGACTATGTCACCCTCAACTTCTGCTATCTGTCTGAATGTATATCGTTGTCTTGATTAAGCAATTTTATAATTTTGTGCATAAAGACAGTTAAATGGATTGTCAATAGACAGCAAAGTCAAGGGTTGAGGTGCCACCAGGAACTGGAAGGGAGATCAAAACTAAATCTGCAAGCATGAAGTGCCACGTGGCCTACTCCTTGTTCCAAATCCTAGTTTTGATTTTTCATTCAGGAAACGTGGGCTTAATTGGCTGGGCCAATATTTATTGCACCTTTTTTCTTTATTTCCTAATCAATTCATTCTGAAATGTTATCATACAACACTGGCATGGTACGGACACTACTACTGCACCATAAGCATCCTATTGTACATTCTTAACTGCGGTCGAGAAGGTGGGGGCATACTGCCTTCTTGAAACACTGCAATCCAGTTCGTGTTAATGCACCCATAATACTGTTTGAGAGAGAGTGTTCCAGGATTTTGAACTGTGACACAAAAAACAGAAATATTTTTCCCCAAGTCAGGATGATAACAGACTTGGGCAAGAACTTGCAGGTGGTGATGTTGTGGTGTTTTCGTGCATCTGTGCCCTGGTCCTTCTAGATAGATGCAGTTCTGGGTCTAGAATGTCAGGTCCAAAAGGTCCTCAGTAAATTTTTGCACCACCTTGTAGTTGGTGCACACTGCTGCTGCTCAGCATGAGTAATGGAAGGAGTGAATGTTCAAGAAATGTGGTACCAATCAAGTGGGCTACTTTGTCCTCAATGATTTTCAACTTGTATTGTTGGAGCCTTACTCATATAGGCAACTGGGGAGTGTATTCTAATCAAACTCTTGACTGGTGCCTTGCAGATGGTGGACAGACTTTGGGGAGATAGGAATCCTGCAATGACTCAAGTCACCTAACCTTTGACCCGTTCTTGTAGCCACAGCACTTCTACAGCTAGCCTAGTGCAATTTCTGGTAACTCCCTGGTTGATGGTGGGGATTCAGCAATGGCAATGTCATTGAACATCAAGTGGTGATGGTTTATTCTTGGAGAGGGTCGCTGCCTGGCATTTGTGTTGCTTGCGATTTTTTTTTTTTTTTTTTTTTTTTTAAAAAACCCAAAAGGCCGATATTGTCCAGGTCTTACTACATTTTTAAACAAACTGATTCAGTAGCCAAGGAGTTGCAAAAAGCACTGAATACTGTACATACTAGCAGCAAACATTCTCACTTCTGGCAGGTCATTGATGAAGCATCTAGAGGGGTTGGGCTAGATAATACCTTGAGGAACTCCTGCAATTGTCTGGTGCTGAGGTGACAGATCTCTAATAACCAAAATAATTGTCTTTTATGCCGGGTAAAAATCTAGCTAGAGACTTTTCTTTCGGATTGCTGTTGATTCCAGTTGAGGTGTCCTCGATACCATATTTATTCAAATGTGACCTTGAGAAAAAAAAAAGGGGCAGTCTCTGTAATTGCATCCCTTCTGTCCCTGTTGGAACCAAGGCTGGAATGAAGTCAGTAGCCCCAGCGGTAGCCAGACGAGGTGTCAGTAAGTTAGTTATTGCTAAGCAGTGCTGCTTGATAGCATTGGTGGTGACCGCTTCTGTCATTTTACTGATGATCAAGAGTAGACTGATGGGGGTGATAGCTGCGTCAGGTTGGATGTGTCCTCTTTGTGTGTACTGGACTTGCCTGTGCAATTTTCCAAATTGTTTGGTAGAGGTCAGCGTCTTAGCTCCCACAATCCAAAGCTGTGCAGTTTAGGTGGATTGGCAATACTAAATTGCCTATAGCATCCAGGGATGTGCAGCTTCGGTGAATTAGCCATGGGAAATACAGGGATAGGGGATGGATTCCAGGTGGAATGCTCTTCAGAGAGTCAGTGTTAACTTGTTGGGCTGAATGACCTGTTTCTATACTGGAGGGACTCTATGATGATTCTGCCCTGAAACAACCTGGCTGGGGGCACAGCAGAAATCTTCAGAATTATTTCCAGGGCCATTTGACCAATATAAACAGCCTCTCCATCTCCTACCTATGCCCCTCCCAATCTTTGGTGTGAACAAGATGAAGGAAAACTACAAATCAAAGAGGAATAGCTATTATAACAAATCAGCACAGTAACTTACATGAGTTTTGCCACTTCCAGTCTGTCCATAGGCAAAACAGGTAGCCATTCCCCTCTCAAAGATGGTCTGTACTAAAGGTTTTGCTGTGAATCTGATAAAAAGATACAAAATGTGACAACTGCAAATCATTTATTCACTGGCATTCAATTTGTTTTCAGAACTCATATTTAGATGCCAAGATGAAAGTGATTATTTTGCCATTGAACAAAATGGAAATGCCAACAAATACGTGTTTCAAAAAAACAAATACTTCAATAAATACAGATGGGTTGCAGCTTGCCAAAACTTTACAATTGTTTTGGCCCAAACAGTCCATGGGCTGATACTTATGTCCCCTATAAACTTCTCCTATTCATCCTCATTTTATAACAATGCATCATTCTATTCTTCTCCCCCTCATGCTTATTGATCTTACCACTAAATTGCTATCTGCGCAATATGTTTCAAATTTTCTCCACTTTCCTGAATAATTATTGGATATTAGTGGTTTATTTATAAACTCTAGCTTTGCAGTCTCCACCAGTGGAAACATTTTCATTACATATACCTCATCAACAGCCTTCACAATTTAAATACCATATCAGGTCACCTCCCAGCCTCTTTCCTGGAGAAAGATCCTGAGCTGAGCTATTTCAATTGTTGTAGGAAGTAATTTAATCTTGCACTGAGGGGACAAAAGTTTGTCCAGTGATTTTCTATTCTTTTAGTTATGAGCCAACTGGAACTTCGCACAGTACTGGGAAAAAAAAAAGTGTTAGATATAAAGTCAATAACTCTTATTTTTGATTTACGGCCTTCTAGGAAGTCAACCCAATGGATAATTGGCAAATTTCTGGCTTTGATAAACTGATTTGCAACGGTAATCATGTGCGCCCAGAGTCTGCTTGGAATGGTATCCCACTGAGGCATTTTCTAAAGAGTTAGGTCACATCCTGAACATTTCTCTATCCCAAATCTATACCCTGTTGAATTAAATCATCAGTGGAAATTTTGTTTCTTCTACAAGGAAGTTTATTTTGTCAGTTCCAGTTTATAAAACTTTCAGTACACCAGTTTTTTGATTTGTTATAACTAAGAAAAAAAAAAATCAGAGGTTTGATCGCAAGCCCCATTGAATGAGGGAAGAGCACAAGATGAATAAATGTGCACTCGGACAGTAAAATGGATACTATATAAAACTGCATTTGAAACAAGTTCTTCCACCCATGCAACTAAGGTAGGTTCTCAAATAGCGAGCTTCAACTTTGCACAAGTTAAATGGAAAGAATGGACTAGCCAAGTTTTAGAAACTCCATAGGCACATTTAATAACTTCTTTAGAACATAATCTGAACATGACTGAAACACAGCTTAAGATCCTCAAGATAAAATTTTAACTGGAAAGTCTAAGAAAATCAGTCAGAAAAAAAAACCTGACAGATGCCCAAGGTTCAAATCTTACAAAGGTGACTTAAATAATGAACAAGCTTAAAAATTGATGTCAGCTATGAACAAATTATTCCTGGAAAAAGAAAAGGCCAACACACAGCAGCTCTTCATTGTTGGAGGCATCCTAAGTCTTTTCACAGTGTTGCATAACTTGCTCTCACACTGCTCCTTAGTTCGCCTCTCTCATCTGCCTTTAGTTACACATCTGGAGGAAGTGTTAGTTTTCACATTAAGGCCTACAAACTCCCAGTTCTACCTTACTAGCTGCTTTGATATCTCTACTGTTGCTAAATTATCAGATTGTTTCTCAGGTCATTACGTGCTGGATAAGAACTTCCTGCCAAATAAATATTTGGGAAACAAAGGGAAGTCATTGTATCCAGTTGCTACTCCATTGCCTAGTTGCTGAGTGTTTCAGATTAAGCTTGTTGATCTGTTAGAAGCCAAAGCCACATCCCATAAGACAGAGTTACTGTTTTTAAACGTTGGTTAGAATAGGAAAATCTGATTTGCTTCAAGTTGCTTCCCTAATAGTGCTCCAAACGAAGTACAACTTCATGCGAGGACTTGGCTCATCTAGAGTGGAGTATGTACGTCTACGTCTGCCCATCAGCTGCTGAGAGCCCTCATTCATGCCTTTGTTACCTCCAGACCAGACCAATCCAACACATTATTGGCCACCCTCCTACATTCTTCTCTGTAAAATGTAGGTAATCTAAAACTGTCTTAACTAAGAGCACATCCCACTCCCTCAGTGCTTATTGACTTGCACTGGCTCCCAGTCAAGCACTACTCGCTTTTCAGATTCTGTCCCCTCCAGCATCATAATGCTCAGGTACCTACCCTCTTCTAGTTTGGCCTCTTGTGCCTACCAATTCAATTTGCAGAATCACTGGTGGTTGCCCTTTCAGTTACCAAGTTACCTTTGGTTATGTTCCCTACATTTGTTTCACTTTCCTTTTTCAAGGGGCTGCTTAAAAACCTATCTTTTGACAAAGCATTTGACCAAATGTAAGTGGCATTTTTTGGTTTCAAATTTTGCTTTATAATTTTCTTGTAAAGCATTGTATGTATTGTACATGTTTTATTGTTCCTTTTAAAAACGATCTATAAAAGTACAATTGCCCATTTTAAATGAACTGGCTTTAAATCACTGCTTTAATTGTCACTTAATAGGGCCCATGTTCACATTTAGCCTCAAGTTTTGTTTCAAAGTCATTTTGCTTCAGATCTGATAATGTGGAGTAACATGATCAGATTGGCACCTGTTTGGAGCAGCTCCTCCCTCATTTCCCAACCTCTGGTTGGTAGTCCCTTCTGGTCCCTAGTATTGTTTCTTGCCCCTTGCCTATCTTAAAGTCACTCTTCCTGTCTCTCAACTCAGTTCCAGAACTCAAAGATGTTTGGAAAATAGGATGTATAACAGCTGGGAGGGCTAGTAATTTGAAAAACTGAGCATACATCTTAGATTTTTAAAAGTTACTTCATCTACCAAGGGCAGAATTTAGTGCATAGTTTTTCCAATTATATGGCATGTTTCAAAGACTGTCTGATAAGACATCCCTCAAAGCAGAGTTACTGTTTTCAACATTTGTTAGAATAGGAAAATCCGATTTGCTTCAAGTTGTTTCTTGCATAGTGTTCCAATGAAGTACAACTTCATGTGAGGACTTATTGTCTATGTTGTAGGGAAAAAAATCTGGCAATTCTTCCTTACCTCTAGTCTAAAATGATAGCTTAGCAATTGTAATACATAAACACCAAATCCAAACTAATTTGAAATCGAGTACCTGTATACCTCTTCATTGGTAACAAAATCATCAAAGGCATAGTCAAATCTGAAGGGCTGGTTATCCAAGTATTTTGTGAGATCAACCTTCATCTTTGGTTCATGCACCAGAACTACATTTTTGCTGGAGATAGTAATCACATCAATCTCCCTTTTTGCCTTTTCTGTGGAAGTCAAAATACAGAATTAAGGTTGAACTTTAATTGTGCCACTTTGGCAAATCACATCTAATCCATTCTTTAAAATGTTAACTAAAGACAGACACAGCCTATTACGGTTATGTGGTATTTAGTAACAGGTCATGGTCAGAGATTTTTAAGAAAAAAGTTACTCCATGTTCTTCAGAGGTATCTGCTAGATACCATGCCACAAGAATTTGCAAACTTCTTGAACAGAGTAGAAGGCATAGGAGCTGAGGTAGACTATTTGGCCCTGGAGAGTCTGCCCAGGTCAGCAGGCCATGACCACAACCTCCGTTTCAGATTTTCAGTCTAGATCAATGATTTCAATGTGGGTACCAATTTGAAATTTCAAAGTTTGCAGAGGACAAAAACTTGACGCAATCATGAGTTGTGAGAATGCAAAGAGGCTTCAGACAAGCTGAGTAAGTGGGCAAATGCATGACAGATGGAATAAATGTGAGGTTATCTACTTTGGTTGGCGGAATGAAGGAGCAGTGTATTGCCTTCTCGCATAAGGGCTAAGAACCAGCTGGCAGAGGCGATGGCTTATTAATCTGCAGACCCAGATAATGTTCTGGGGACCCAGGTTTGAATCCCGCCATGGCGGATGGTGGAATTTGAATTCAAAAACATCTGGAATTAAGAATCTAATGATGACTGTGAATCCATCGTCAATTGTTGGAAAGACCCATCTGGTTCACTAATGTCCTTTAGGGAAGGAAACTGCCATCCTTACCTGGTCTGGCCTACATGCGACTCCAGACCCACAGCAAAGTGGTTTACTCTTAACTACCCTCTGAGCAATTAGGGATGGGCAATAAAAGCTGCATAGCCAGTGACTCCCCTCATCCTACGAATGAATATAAAAAACACAGATGGCACTGATTTAAAGTGATGTGCAAAAGTAGTAAATGTGAGGTTAAAAAACATCACAGCAAGTAGTTAGGGTATGGAATGCACTGTGTGGAAGTCTGGTGGGCTTAATTGTGGCATTCAAGATGGTATTGGATGATTATTTCTATTGAAATAACGTACAAAACCTATGGGCTAAAAGTAGGAGATTCACAGCAAGTAATGATGCTTATTTGAGGAGCTGGTACAATGTGCCAAATAGTTGCCTTCTGCATCATAGCACTTCTGTGACTCTGCTTTAATTGTGTCCAACACTGGCGAGACCACAACTGGTGTGCAGAGTTTTGGTCCCTTGCCATATAGAGTGAATGCAGAGGAGATTCATTAGACCGATTCCTGGAATTGAGAGACAGTTCGATGTGGAGAAATTGAGAAGACTGGACCTGTATTCCCTAAAAAATTAGAATGTATGAGAGGCATCTTCATAGAAGCTTCATTTAAAGGGATAGATATGGAAAGGACATATCCCCCAACTGAGATCTAGAGCCGAGGGAAGTCTCAGAATAAAAAGAGAATTCATTTAGACCAAGATGAGAAAAGTTCTTCAGTCATCTTTGGAATTCTGTACTTGAGGACAGTGAAGGGTTCAGTTAATAGGTAAATTCACAAAAGATTGACAGATTGCTAGTTCATAATGATAGAAAGGGATATGGGGATAGTGCAGGAATAATGCGTTGATTTAGGTAATCAGTTATGACCTAGAATGGTTGAGCAGGCTTGAAGGGCTGAATGGTCTAACTCTGAAACACAGACTTACCTTGCATCTAGATTCCCTCGACTTTCCTTATCCAGAGGAAAAGTGAAAGCTGATGTTTCTGGGCCCTAGTCAGCTGCAGGAGTTTCTGGAAGGCATCTAGAAATTATTTCTTACACTCTTACAAGGGACAACCTAGCTGTTTGGAATGTGATAAATGGTTAATAAAACTAGGAGCAAAGAATGCCATTCAGCCCTTTTTGAGTTGAGTCTACCATTCAATATGATCATGGCTGATCCTCTAACACCACCACATTCCGACTTTCTCTCCATACTCCTAGGCCTTAATAAAAAGGGACTGATGAATATTAAATTGAATATATTCAGTGACCTAGACTCCACAGCCTTTTGTGGGAATAAATTCCACAGGTTAAGCACCCTCCAAGTGAAGAAATACTTGCCTGTCTCAGTCCTAATGGCCTATCCTGTGTCAAAAGAACGTGGCCCAATTCTAGATTCTAACCAGTGGAAACAGTCTGTCCAGCCCTGTTAAAGTTTTACACATGTCAATCAGATTTCTTTTCATTGTTCTAAACTCTGATCAACTTGGCCTGCTATTTACTAATCTTTCTTCACGTGATAGCATGGGCAGCCTTCATATTAGCCTGCATCAGCACCCTGATAAGTATATCATTTCCTAGGTCAGGAGACCAAAACTGTACACAATACTGCAGGTGTGGTCTCAGCAAGGCATATACTGTTCCTAAGGTTTAACGTAGCATACGAACTGATGGTAGAATGAATAAAAGAGGGATCGAATGAATTAACGTGTTTTAAACAACTAATATGGCCGAGATGCAGTACGTGGGCATTCCTGGATGCCACTGTGATCTAGGGCATCACACTAGAACTAAGTTCTAGCTCTGGCAGCTTCAACTCAAAGATTACAATCTGGAAATTGCGACATTGCAACGTTCTTTTCGTTTGAGGGAGACTTGATTGTTGGGAGGTTGGGGGAGTGCAGGTGAGAAAAGAGAAAAGGTGGTGGTGGTGGTGGAGGAAAGAGTGTTACTGGGTGGTTTTTTTTGTTTTTTTTTTAGAAAACCAGGAGGTAGTCACATCCCTCAGGATAGGTAGGAGGTTAATTTCTAGACCAATCGAATACAACATCACATTAAAACTTGTATAGAATCTTAGTGGGCTCCACTTTTTAAAAACAAACATGCCGAAGACAACTTTAAAAGTTTTTAAAAAATCCAAATGATATTAGAACTGACAGCATATCACTATCAAGGAAAGATTGTATAAGCTAGGAGCTTTTTCAAAAGATTATAGTAGCAAATTGATACAGATTTTTAAAATAGTGGAGGAATTTGACAAAAACGGTATTTCTATTTTGGTGAGCCTAAAAATCAAGGACTACCATATAAAATTTCTCAAATAATTTAAGTATTAGTTCCTAAAGAGAATTGGTGGTGAATTAAGCATTTTCGCAGAGTGGCTAAGGCAATTTTAAGAATGCATTGAGGAAAGCTTGTTAAGTATTTTAGAGAATGCTGTGTTAAACGAGGTGAGGAGCAATAATATAGATAAAGGCCCCTTTGAAAAACACCAACATGGAAATGTTGGACCAAGCAGTTTGTGTCTATAAGATATAATGCAATTCTACCTAATTGCAAGAAACCATACCAAGTTTGCAGAGCACTTTAATATTCAGCACTAAATAGGAGATCGTAAAATACATGTCCACCTGTGCAGATCAATATTTGGTTATTTAGTTCCTGTTTGATCCCATGGTCATATTATGTAGTGAGTAGTATGGAAAACAGTAAGGTACATCACCAAAGATGGCCAAATAACCTACAAAAATACTGAAAACATCATAGCACAGATTGTCATACAGTTTTTTTTTTCAATTAACTTGTTCAGACAGACACTTATGGCACATGTCTGGGGCAGGTGGGGCTCAAACCTGGACTTTAAAAATTAAAAGAAAGGGACATTACCACTGTGCCACAAAAACTCTCAGATTATGCATACATTCAGGGTAGACAGTACAGGTGAGCATAATTCCAACCTAGTCTCACCATCTTCAGCAATGACTTTCGCTTTAGTTTTGCTGATAGTTGAACATATTCAGTGCTGTTTAACAACAGCTCAGATATTGAAGCAATCTGTACCTACATGCAATGTTTAGGCCGAGCTGATTTTTGGAGGAGTGTTGCTAGCCATTTCCATACCAGACTCCAACGTAGAATCTAATACTCTCCCAGTGACATTTAACAATATTACCATTGCAAAGTTACCTATGAAAATTTGAAGCTTGCCATTGAGCAGCAAATGGCCTGGCTACAACAGGAAACCTGAGAATTCTGTCATGAGCAATTCACTTGTGACTTCCCCAAACCTGTCCAACACAACTAAGAGGAACTGACAGTCCAGTATCTACACCGCTGAAGGCAGCAGGCAGGCTGAGAAGGCATACAGGATCTTGCACTTTCCAATGGGACAGTGTGTTCAAGTGTGAGGTAGTTGTGATAAATGTCTACAAAATACTGGCTCAGCTTCAAGTAAATGTGCCTGGATGGACACCACGCTTTGGGTAAGATTCAGTCAAGGTGCAGAAAAGATTTGAGACTGCTTTCAGGACTGAAGAACTTGTTATATAGATCGACTGGACCGACTGCAGCTGTTCTCCTTAGTAAAAGGAAGAGTTGATAAAAATGTTACAGCACAGGAACATCTTTATGATTCTACACTGCAGATTGCAGTCCGGGCTTTTCCTTTTATGAAAAAAATTGTTGAAAGAGCCCCATAGAGTAGAAGCTGGTCATTGTTCTACACACCTCAGCGCTATGAATGATAAAGGTAAGAACTGATTAAATATTGAGCACTCAAATCCCCTTGGGTTTAATAGTACTACAAAAAAGTGGAAGAAAGGAGAATCTACAATTGAGCAATTATAATACCTGACAACATACCTTTTTTGCTGAGGGGTCGTTTTCGGACACAGACACATATTTTGTGAAGCTCAATCTGAAATAGTTTATTACAACAATAAAGATTTGTCAATGTTATCCCATTATTTATCTTTATTACAATGAAATTCCCACTCTGAAGTAGAGTCAACATGAAACCAGGTACAGTATAATGAAGTGGTGCAGCCACCTGCACCACACTGAACTTCTGGAATTTGACTTTATCTAGACTAAAGCAGTTCAAATAGTTTTTAGAAAAGAAGAATCAGCCAGAAACTGGATTTCTAGTAAGTTCCAAGTACTTAACATGTCAGCTCCAAAGTAGAACACAAAATTTAAAGAAAAAATTAAGGTCTGCAAATACAGTTTTCTACTCTTCTGTATCTACAGGGATTTCCATTTCAATAAAAGATTACTTTTGGAACAGTGACTTTTAATCCAAAATCATGAAAGAAAGAGTAAATTCAGTGAATGACAACTCAACATTCCAGAGCCAAGCTTAAAATCCTGAATAAAGCTGCAGAGGGAACACAAGTCTATCAAGTGTCAAAAAGGAAGATATTAAAATGTTCAACAATTAGCTATGCTTATTACCCTGGACCTATGGTTTTAACTCAAAGTTAGCATTTCCACCACCTCCTTTTGGATAGGCACTCGAGAGTGTTAATCGTTTAGTGTATTATAACTAACTGTTGGTTCCAGAAGTGGGAGAGCAGTACATCATCCCTCCAGAGCAGGATGTGAATGGTGCAAAATTACTTACAGGATCTGAATCAGATAGATGTTGATAAGAGTCTAACGTAGCTCTTAATTCTGTAATCATCTTCATGAATTCCCAATTTGGATTACCAGCATCATAGTCCTGCAATAAATTATAAAGAACTTATTCCTACACTTCGTTTTAACTGCTTAAGCTATTACATTCTAGGTTTGGTTACAAATACATGTTTATGCATAATGTGTACCATCCAGAAGATGAACAGCAACACCAGATGTCCTTCAGTAGAACATTCCAAACCCACAATAACTACCTAGGAAAATGGCAGCAGATGCCTTTGGACAGCACCATAGGAGATACTTTTGTCTCTTGGAAATGGTTGCTGTTCCCTCAATGTCATAAGGTGTAAAACATGGAACTCCCATCCCAACAGAATTGCAAGTGTACATACAATACATGGACTGATGCTCAGCACTCTTTCTTCAACGTCAATAAATACTAGCCTTGTCTGTGTACTCCTTCCACAAGAGCAAAAAGGCCCTATAGAATCAACACTAGAACAGAGGCAGAACGTTACTGGGAAAAAAAAGTTAAATAGAAGGCTTCCAATACTTTTTTTTCAGCTAATACTGGTCATTAAGGAGGTAGTGACCTAGTGGTATTTTCACTGGACTGTTAATCCAGAGGCCCTGATAACATTCTGGGGATCCAGGGTTCAAATCCCACCACGACAGATGGTGGAATTTGAATTCAATAAAAATATCTGGAATTAAAGAATCTAACAATGACCATAAATCCATTGTTGGTTGTCAGGAAAAACCCATGTCCTTTGGGGAGGGAAACTGCCATCCTTACTTGGTCCGGCCTACATGTGAATCCAGACCCACAGCAATGAGGTTTACTCTTAACTACCCTCTGGGCAATTAGGGATGGGCAATAAATGCTGCCTAGCCAGCAACGCCCTCATTCCGTTAACGAATAAAGGAAAAGGAATAAAAGGATCCTTTAGTATGGGTTAGTTCATGCTTGAATCTACAAAGTAGTTTTAAAACAAATTCCAGTCATACACAGATCCCTACTACCTTTATAAAGTGGAGGAACAAGATTGCTCAAGAGGATTGAAGGCTTATGCTCCAGAACTACCACATGCCTAATCAAACTGCTGCAGTACAGATAAAACAGTGATATCTGCTCAGAGGAAAAACTGCTCAAGTATGTCCTAGCCATCCAGGAGGTGGTGGGAAAATGATATCATGGCAGTGCTATCAAGCATCACATACCTGATAACAATTTACTCATTGACACTTAGTTTAGGTTTCGTCAAGGCTTCAGTTTCTGACCTCATTACAATCTCAGTCCAAATATGGACTGAAAGAGCTGAATTCTTGGAGGAGGGTGGCAAAGAGTTGCATAAAAAACAAAACAAACTGGACTCAATGGAAGTCAGAAAAAAAAAAACACTCCATGGCTGGTATGCCCCAATCAGCAAAAAAGGAACATGGTAATATAGAACTTAAGTATTACTGAAAAAGTTTGTCTTGCACTCATCAGGACAATTACTACTACTATAAAAGGAAAAAGGAAAAAAGGAAAAAGGAAAGAGGGAAAAGAAAAATTCTACTGCTCGAGAGGAGGAGTGTAGTGGTGATTGGCAAGTGGACTCTGGTGAGGCATTGCCATGGAGGATGCACTGACAGTCAACTCCCAACATCTGTTTATATTCTAAACCAGCAGATTGACTAACTGGTAAAAGCAGTCAAAACAGGGTCAGTACATGTCCATATTTTCTCCTGCCTGCAGAAACAGTGGGGGTGATCCTGTGTATTAACAAGTATGCCAGACTAAGACTAATGGACAATTCTAAATTGGTTGTCAGTGCAATCCTTCAGACTATTATTTAAAGCTGTCACTTAGACCTTAGAAGTGCTCAGCCCTCTTTCATTACCCCACAACGACAAAGTATCTCAGAACTTTAAGCAATGGGAGAACATAGAACAGTACAGGCCCTTTGGCCCATGATGTTGTGCCGAACTTTTACCTTAAACCCAAGGTAAATCTAACCTCAACCCCTACCTGAGACTATCATCCATATGCCTATCTAATAGCCACTTAAATGCCCTTAATGAGGCTCTCATCACTATCCTCTCCGGCAATGCATTCCACGCCCCTACCAATGAGTAAAGAGCCTACCTGACGTCTCCCCTATATCTACCTCCACTCACTTAAACTATGCCCCCTCGTAATAGCTACCTCCACCCTAGGAAAAAGTCTCTGGCTGTCCACTATCTATACCTCTGATCATTTTGTACACTTCTATCAAGTCACCTCTCATGCTGCGTCATTCTAAAGAGAAAAGCCCTAGCGCTCTCAACCTTTCCTCGCAAGACCTTCCCTCCATTCCAGGCAACATCCTGGTAAATCTCCTCTGCACCTTTTCCAACGCTTCCACATCTTTCCTGTAATGAGGCAACCAGAACTGGACAATACTCCAGATGTGGCCTAGCCAGGTTTTTATATAGCTGGAGCATAACTTCACAGCACCTGAACTCAATCCCTCTAACACACCATACACCTTAACAACTCTATCCACCTGGGTGGCAGCTTTCAGGGAACTGCAGACATGAACCCCAAGATCCCTCTGCTCCTCCACACTGCCAAGAATCTTTCCGTTAACCCTGTATTCTGCTTTCAAGTTTGTCCTTCCAAAATGAATCACCTCACACTTTTCAGGGTTGAACTCCATCTGCCACTTCTCAGCCCAGCTCTGCATCCTATCAAATGTAATTTTGTAACCGAGAACAGCCCTCCGCACTATCCACAACTCGACCCACCTTTGTATCATTCGCGAACTTACTAATCCACTCCTTCATCCAAATCATTTACAAAAATCACAAATAGAAGAGGACCCAGAACAGGTCCTTGTGGTACGCCACTCATAACTGAGCACCATGTTGAATATTTTCCATCCACTACCACCCTTTAAGGGTCAGCCAATTCTGAATCCAACCTACCACATTTCCCCCTATCCCATGCCTCCTCACCTTCTGCATGAGCCTACCATGGGGAACCTTATCAAAATGCCTTACTTAAATGCACGTATACCACATCCACTGCTCTACCTTTATCCACGTGTTTGGTCACCTCTTCAAAGAATTCAATAAGGTTTGAGGCACGAGAAGCCAGCTTTTGAACACTGCCACTACATAGTGGCAACACAAATGGTTTTTGCCACTGACCAGGATGTTGTTGTCAAGCTGAAGACATGTTCTTTCACAGAAATGAGTCATGCATGTGAATTTCAATTAGTGGTGATACAAGATATGTAGGCTGTATGTCCCAAAGATCAGCATATCATAAAATGTCACATTCAGTTATTCACAACAAAAACACTGATTGAACAGAACCAGCACACATTTGCTAAACTCAAGTGTCTAACATTGTGACTCCACAATCAGATTAGTTAACAAACATTGCCCCAAGTGTGAAGAATTACACTGACAATCAATCTAAATTCAGAGTCAGGCTTGCAATTGTGGCACGTGTGTACAGGAAGCTACATAAATTAAGTGACCAGGGCCTGTTCTTTGCAGGCAGAAAGAACATGTAAACACTGCACTAGTTTCAACTCAACAAAATAGGTGACAACCATGTTCTGGCTCATTTCTCAGCCAGTCATTAATTGGTGCATTCTAAACAGCAGTGTCTATTTGTCAACCAGCTGACAGGCACACTCTGCTCTTGCGGAAATATTATTGCGCTTGCTTTAGCAGAGCTAAAAAAATTGGAACGATAGAGAAGATGAACCATAACCCCTGTTCAAGGATGAAATGCTCTACATTTTTAAAATGTGCTCTTGGGTGCAGTGGCAAGTTGCAATGGGTGGCATGGTGGCTCAGTATTTAGAACTGCTACCTCACTGCACCAAGTTCAGTTCCATCCTCGGGCATGTGTCTGTGTTGAGTTTGTACATTCCCTTGTGCCTACGTGGGTTTCCTCTGGGTGCTCTGGTTTCCTCCCAGAGTCCAGGTTAGGTGGAATGGGCATGCCAAAGTGCCCCTGGTGTGCAGGGATGTGCTGGCTAGGTGGATTAGCCATGGGAAATATAGGGATAGGGTAGGGAGGGGAGACTGGGTGCTCTTCAGAAGGTTGGCGTGGACCCGATGGGCTGAATGGCCTGCTTGCACACTGTAGGGATTCTATGATCTACCTCTGAGCCAGGAAGTCCACATTCAAGTCCCACCAACTCCAGTTGTTTAATAACATATCTGAACATGTGGATATCTAAATATGGTTTTACCTTTACATTGGTACTTCTTACAAATTGCTAACAAAAAAAACAAATTTGTCGAAGGTTTTCATGTTGCACTTTTATTTCAAGTCTTGTCATTAAAATGGGTTTCGGTTGGAGGTCAAATCAAATCAGTCCTGTGATATTCGTGCAGAAGTTCCTTAGTATAGTGTCCCCATTTTCAGTTATTTCCCACTGCTGTTTCATCTTCAAACTTCTTCATTCACAAGGTCAGATGATTGCACAATGTTCAGCACTGTGACTCCTTGGATACTGAAAATAGTCCATACCCATACACAGCAAGAGCCAAATTACATTCAGGCTTTGGAAGCAAAAACAAGGCAGCAGATTACTACCTCAATGGCTGTAAATTGGTAGAGGGGAGTGTGCAGTGGGACCTGGGCACCCTTGTGTACCAGTTGCTGCAGGTAAGCATGCAGGAGCAGTAGGGGTAAAGGCAGCAAATGGTATGTTGGCCTTCGGTGCGAGAGGTTGAGAGTACGGGAGCTGGGATGTGTTGTTGTAGTTGTATGTGGCCTTGGTGAGACCACACCTGAAACATTGTGTGAAATTTTGGTCTCGCTCTTGAGGGAGTGCAGTGAAGGGTCTGATGTATGAGAGATTGAGTAGGTTCAGACAAATGGTATTTGGGGTGGGGGAAGGGAGAGAGAGAGAGAGAGAGAGAGAGAGAGAGAGAGAGAGAGAGAGAG